TTTATTACACAAAGTATATGTTTTTTTCCTATATTAATAATTACGGAGCGGTAACAAACGAAATAAATGTAATAATGAAAAAAGAAATTAAGTTTCGAAAGTATTTTTAACATCGTTAAGGTGCCGTCAAATGCTGCTTATTTATTTGGTATGCATCGAAATATTCGTTAGAAAATATGCGAAGATTTCAAAGCGGTGGCGGCGAGGGCCGCTAAATGGAATGTCCGCGGCAGGATGTACCAACGAAAATGAAATTTTATCGTACTCCCATTGCACTTGCCGCTTTCAATTCACATTTTACGTCTCTATTATAATAAAATAAAGTTAATTTCAATATATGTTAAAATCCAAAACGTATAAATGAGGCAATTCAGTTTAATTAAACTCTCCTTTGTCACGAAGTTACTGAAAAAGAATTTAGCGGAAAAATAATATTTTTTTATATTCTACGTTAAACGCTTACACTTAAATATTACTTCATACATATTTAGAGAGAAATGTCAAAATTAAAGCTATCGAAATGAATTTAATCGTCTTAATTCATAAATCACTGGCTAAGCGTAGAAGTTACTTCCAAAATATAAATTTGAACATAAAGTCACACTTTTGGAAAACCACTGTTGTCCATTATCGACAAATAAATTATCTAACCTAACTAGTTAACCTAACTGTAAGTTTACTTGCCGAAGTATGTACATGTATGTAGTTTAAAAAGGTTTGTACTAATTGATTAAATTTTCGGAAACGAAATGGAAAGCTCGGTACCGTATTAAGCTTCGATGGATGAAACATTTGGTCACTTTGATCCAATATTCTGTAAAGCTTTCCCTTCGCTCCGACTCTACCTAACTGTATACTACGATTGAGTGACCATTTTGTTATTTAAAAATGAGAAAAGATTTGTACTTTATTTTTTAAAATAAAGAACAATTAGTTAAAAATTAACGGTAAAAATATATAACAATGGAGGTAGCATTCTAATCTTGAACATGTTTTTTTTAAATAAAACTTCAATTATAACAAAATGTAATATTATCGATCAGCAGTAAGATTGAACGATAGCTTGAGCTCTACAAATTATAGGGGCATAGTTTTAAAATTCAATTTAAAAATCTGTTTTTTTAAAATTGATTTAGATGATTTCATATTTTTAATTAAAATGTACTGACAAATTAGTACTTATCTTTAATGAAAGTTTAAACTTTAAAGTGATATGGAATGAAACTTGATTAGTGAAATTTGTGGTGTAAATTAGGTAGATAAACAGTCGTTTACAAAGTTAGAGATTCACAGACTGTGGCGGAGCCCGCATCAGGTACTAAACTATTAGCTGATCAAATAAATTGGTAAAAGTGGAGACAAAATAAAAGAACGCAATTCAACTAATTTTAATTTGCTAACTATACACAAGTACTATACTAATTGCTTTAATAAAATATCGGCTCTGGCTTTTACACATTGTTTGATATAAAATTGCTACAATTTTTTGTATCAATTTTCATTGATTGACGATGTTCGGTACACATCTTACGGGAACATATATAATAGTTTAAATTCCGCGGCCCGGTCTATTGCGGGTAACCAGGCGCATTATTATCCCGAACAAGTGGGTAGTTTTGAATCCTCTCCTCCTTTATGCTCTCTATACTCTCCAGTACGGTCGGGCGCGGGCCTGCGGACAGGTGTGTGGTTGAAAGTATATTCAAAGGTCATCAGAAATGGTTGCCTGTCCGACAAGGCGAAAGACATAACGGGCGTATTATTTTTTTTAGCGAACGGAGTCGCCTTGAATTTAGATTTCGCGTTTGGAACTATAACGGTGCATACACCCGGCATGCGGGCAGCATAACTGGCGCTTATAGACTTGACTCAATCGACACCGGCAGAGACCAGGCACCTGAAGGCGGTGCGGTGTACATCGAGAAGTTAAGTACCACTTTATCGTCCTTCATTCCATTGTTCACAATATTATGGCCGATGTGTGCGTAATTTACGTAATTGTAAGTGATATACTACAAACTATGTTCAAAAACATTTTGTTACTACAAAAAGTTTTATTTACTAGTTATAATTCAGGAGGCGAATAATAAGTAAAGTTTTTGTTGGTAAAAATGTTGTATAGCGTTCATATTACAAAACAAATATTGTTGGAGTAAGATCATTGTCGATTCAGGTTAAGCTTTTTGCGTAATATTTAAACAAAAGTTGACAGCGGCAGCGGCCTCCGTGGAAATAGTCCAGAGGGCAATCCGAGCCGGCACAAGTCGACCGGGGCACCTCTAGAATACTAAATAACGAGAATCTTTATTCTGCATGCTTTTTTCTTGCTGCGTTTCAAATATTCAACGCGTTACAAAACGATTGTTTCATTGGTACTTTGATGTTGTGCATTATACTAGTCTATAGAAGGCGTCCTTTAGCATTGCCAGATAAATTATTTTGTGAGACTGCACATTACAGAATTTCTTTTTATGTAGGATTCTTGTGTGTGAATTTAAAGTACAATGAACACAATCAAACAGCTCGAAGAACAATTTTTATTGTTTCATAATTTAAATGATTTAGTGGACAATAATTAATGTCGAGCACCGTATTACTCGTACAACGAACGTAGAAAATGGGAAAACAAAGAAAAAATAATAATAGACAGGAGATTGAAATGGAGCAGTGCATTGTGCCGCGCAATGTACACTGCCGCCGCGCCGCCGCCGCTGCCGCCGCGGCGCAGAAAATATGAAAATTGGAAAATCTCTGCGGAGACCGAATAAATATCAACCCTCTGCCAAAACAGATTTATTGTACGACCACCTGTAATTTCGTATATTTTTATGGAGCCGATATCTCTTATGATTTAATAGAATTTTGTATTGGAAACCTTTGATATTATAATAATTTTAACACTGTAATGTTTTAGTTCATTGACTCACTTAATATGAAAATCAGAGTCAATTGAATGAGAAAATGTCCAACTATATACTAGATAACGTACAGGTTATAAAAAAGAAATAAAACATCTGGTAACATAATATGAAAAAGATAGGGGATGCAATCTATTGCAGTAACGATACATTAGAAAAGCAGTACCAGGCCGCACGGATTAAACAGGCCAGCCGGCTTCGCGGCGTCCGCACGGGTAAAGCGTCTCGCCCTCTTGTTAAAATATCACTGAAATCACAATTTGTTAAACATATTTCTATCAACATTAAGTTTTGCTCAACATATGTTCTCTCGACATCTTTAATGTTACAGATTCTATTTGGTAACTTTTTTTTACCTAACCTATTACAGTGAAATCTTTGGTAAAATCAGTTTATTTAAAATATAACGTTCCATTAAAACAAAAGGAAAATATTTTATAATATTAGTGCCTCTCACGGGACAGAAACTTTGTAATGTGGCTTAGAAGTTTCTTCGTCTCACAATAAAATTCTCAAAAATTAAGATTATCATTTTCATTGTTACCTCTGCAAGGACTTTTTTTTAAGTTTTTGAATAAAGCCACTTAAAGGCATTAACACGAATTGAAAATTTCCCAGAAGAATAGAAGCATCTTAGAAATAGTTACCAAAATGTTAGTGAGTGAAAAATATTTTTTCAGATTATTATGGCCTAGTCATCTAACTTAGGATAGGTCGGATATAGAAAACAAGATGACTGCAGACATACGTCTTATCGAGAATTCAGTTTTTTAGTTATTTGATTTAAATTTTTCAGGTCCTTATTTTTTTTTTTTCGTTTTACATATTTTTATTTTAAAATCTTTAACATCGAGCTATTCATTAAAGGAAATTACGAAACGAAATTATAAAATGGACAACAGTGATTTCGTCGGAGCAAATAGATTTAGGTGGGTTTTACTAATTAAATGTATATCCGTTGGCGAAATGGAGCGGATGGGAACCCATTAAAGTCCGACGGACAAAACATTCGACCGCCGGGCCGTGATCCCTTTTTACACAGACTGGCATAAAGCGGCTAAAGTTTTAATTCATCTCCTACAGCAACGTATAGCACATATGTATTTACAATATTAGAACAAAATAGTTTTTTCATCATACTTTCAAGAGGTACTGTGTTTCATGGGTATATTTAGTACATACAGTGTCCTGTAATGAATCGCACGGTAAAGTTGTATGATCAGGCGAGAGGCGCTGCTATAATGGTTAGTTTTATTAGAAAAGATGAAAATCCTACATAGACACGCAAATCTCGAGATCAATGCAGTAGATAAGAAGATATTCTATCCTTGTTATTGTGTCCAATGTGCATAATTTTGTCATCGCATTCTTTCTTTATAAACTGTTTGTCCTATGCTTATAGGTTAGTTAAAAACCCAGTAGTTCATTGAGGCTGTATAATTTAATAAAAATGCATTCATATTTAGCTTATTTTTAATTAATAATATGTTCATTGCAAATGAAATAAAAAAAATCGGTTTTGCTTGGAAATATTTCCACATAGCTAGAACAAAACTTCCTTGTAATAATAGTGTGCAAATTTTGGTCTATGTTTTCATGCAATTATAAACGTGTTTAATTTTAATAGTGCGGTATATATTAAGATATAAGGAGGCTTGTATATATGATAATTTGGCACGGGGTGAATGGGGAAGCCGCTGCATAATCTCGGCTTCATATATGATATATGATATGGTGTATTATCGCAGATCGGCGGACTATTCCAGCCTAACTGCTGAATTACCTCGCACATCCTACCTCGTGAAATGCGAATTAAATTGCGTATACAGTGAACCTTACATGCTGTTTATGTATTCGAAAATACACATAGCTAAATGCTTACTCTAAAGATAAAGATGCTATTGTTCGATTACGATAAACACGATTAAATTCAAAAACGTAAAACTATCTCATGTAAGCTGGAGAGGTGGAGATTACATCTTTAATTTTAGACACGTTATTCTAGCATTTGTGTTTCATACATTTATAATATGCTTATTACAGTTAGTATGGATGATCAAGATATGTGTTATTAATAGTATTTTAATCAATATAATTAAAATGATGTACTTCATGGTGGAAGTATGAAGGGAGCTTAGATTTAGAGTGTTTGTTTAAGGAGTTTTCAATTGGATATTTAAATTCTTCTGTCTTATCATAAAAAGGATTATTGTCGTCAACAAATTTCTTATTGTAATCAAAAGGCGAGAGCGATTTGAGTACAGTCGCCTTGTGTGACCGTCTGGTAGGTGCTAGTGCCTGCCTAATTGGACTTTTACCATAATTCAGTTTTTTTTGCTTCTTCGAAATTGGTATTTCCATTTTAGTTATAACTATTTTCTTATTTTTGTCGTCACTAATTTTCTCAAGTCGAATATTTTTTACCTTATTGGCAGAGGGTTTGTGTGGGGAGTGTTCTACGTCGACCCACGTAGAATACACATTCTGCATACGAAAACCTTTCAATTTAGAATGGTTTTCAGATGTATTTTTCTTAACGTAGTTAAAATGCGGTGGAGATCTACTTATTATTGGCTTAGCATGGTATGGTATTACATTAGCAGCCGGCGGTTCCTCCGGCCACAAATTAATGTTAAGAGTTTTGTTAGAAGACAGATGCTGATATTTTTGTGGTTTATAGTCTCGGACATCTTCTGCAGTTTCTGGCATGCCTTTGATAAAATTCTCAATTTCTTGTAAACTCAATGGTAGCATAGTTGATGCTAATATTTCTATTTTATCCTCAATATTATATAGGTTTTCGTTGCTTTTCTTGTTGTGCTCGTGTTTTTTGCGGTATTGTTCGAGATAATTCTTGGGTGACCTGGCAAATCTCTCCCAGTACGAATGTGGTGCATAACTGAGTTCACTAAATATCGGATAACTCGGTGTGTTTTGATCTAAATGCTCGATTTCTATGTCTATTTGTCTATTGTTCTTTGTATCTACACCTCTTATGAGAGTTGCTATTTGCTTACCAAGCTTGGAATAAAACGTATCGTCTAGAATTTTAGGGTCGTGAGGATACATTTCGATATTAAATCTTCGATTGGATTCTTCAATTTTCGGTGGTAGTATAGGAATACGACTTTTCTTTTGGTTAAGTATGAGAGGTTTTCGATTTCTTACGATTGGCTTTAATCGTGGCACAACTGTTTTATCTGTATCATTTAAATTAACTCTATGAATCAATTCTGACAAATATTTAAAGTTAGCTATATCGTTGTTCATAACTGGAGATTTAGTGTTACTTTTGTGCTGTAGCTCAGCATTACTAAGGGGCTCGATCTGGAATGTATCTTGTATTTCTGTAGATGACTGATCTGTTTCTTCGATGGGGTCTACTTGCGTTTTCTCTTGTAATTTATTTAGACCAGAATTTTGTACTAATTGTCTAAGACGACGTAGCTAAAATCAAAGTGTTATTAACAATATGTGCATTTGTTAAACACTATTAGTTACTTATTTGTTTTAAATTCTGTTCCCGATTTATTTAAAAGTACTTACTGGATCCATTCCGCTATTATACATCAGAATCTTTTTCCTTTTACTGAAACAAAAATAGAAAATATAGAAAAAATAAGAAAGTTGTGCGATCTTTTGACTTACTTTTAGTCTATTTCTGAATATGATTATTAACTTTTTAAAGATGCAGTTTACTGCTTTTAAAATTAGAGTTTATAAAGTGATGATGAAAGATAACTTCTTACTTTTTCAAACGAAGAGCACCCGGTGCTTGACTAATGGTAGTCATAACATCTGTCGTTACATCAGCGACTGACGGCTGTTCTGTAGATGCTGCAGTCGTGGCAGCACTATCTCCAGCTGCAGTTGCAGACGACGTCGTTACTGATGGTGAAGATTTTTCATCACAATCAGGCAATATATCTGTAATGTAAATAATTAAATTAAACATAAAAGTAGATCATTAAATGAATATAAAATAATAATGATATAATCTTACTCGGTGGAGGAAAACCTGGCAAAACTGGAGGTACAGGCACCATGGGGTACATGGGGAGTACCGGAGGTGGCAAGGCGACTGGAGGATAGAACGGAGTTTCGATATTCGGAAGAAAAACAAAAGATGGCAGCGGCGGCTTTGGTTTCCTGTTTACTATTACGAATTTTTTGTGTCCATGGCCATTTTTAAAACTTTCGTTATCCTCCTTGCTGGTACTAGAAGCCTCTGAACTATCTGTTTCCGAATCTGAGTCAAAAAGGCTGTCATCTTCTGTTATTCTTAACAATTTTCTTCTTAAGTCATCCTGCTTAAGTTTCTTTTTCGATGAACCTCTGTTATCACTTTTTCGTCTCTTCTTTGTTGTCGTGTTGAGGTTACTATTTTTTCCGCTTCTTCTTGTTATGCTGTTCTTATTTGTATTGTTGATAACTTGACTTTCGATTGTTTTGTAGAACTGGTTATAGAGCCAATCGCCAAGGTCGTCCGCATTTTTTGCTATATTGTCGACGTGATCATCTATAACATTAGGAGCCGGTGAAGGTGTCTGGAGCATAAACTCGGGAAATTCCATTTGTGACATTGAAATTCTAGTCGGTTCAGCTGCATATTGCCGACGATATGTTTCTAACAAATTCGAACTGAAACAAATAATATGGTTATAATAATGTATTAGATCTTATTTTTTAAAATATTATTTATTGAGTTTTTACTTAGGTTCACATATTTTCGTGTCGGTGTCGAAATAGTATCCAGGGTGACAATGACAGCCGATAACACAGCCCGGGATCCCATCTATGCAATATTCGAACCTTCCGTGTTCGCCACATTCTGAAAATACGTTAAAATTTTTAGTTTTTAACATAATAATTAACGTTCAAACTCAACTATTAAAAAACATTTTACCGAATAGTGTTTACCAAATTACACGACATAAGTTACTGAGTTTAATTATTGGACGTTGACAATATCCTAGACAGATCCTAAATATAGAAAAATGTAGTTTAGGTCGCCATTTCTGCGTTTTCCTCATGCAAATGCACCCGGACATACCTTTCTTTCTTCTAAGTCTAGGCTCTATATCGTTCTAATATCGTCATACTGAAAACAATATGTTTTATACGTATTGAGAGAGTTTCAAAGTCTACTTACCATATTGTGTCTCTTTCGGATTAGCAGAAATGAGTACAGCGAAGACTAACAGAAGCCAAATTGTCATTTGTGAAAACTGAACTTAAATGATATCATTATTTAACAACGAACTTCCTTAGCTAATTCTAAATGCTGTAAAAAATCTTTGTATTTTAACTATTCACTTAAAACTTAAGTCGCTAATGACGTGTCATTACGCAACTAAAAGTGTTGCCAATTATGACGTTAATACCGTTAGAATAATTATCATTTTATTTACTAAAAACGTTAAAATATTCATAGAAGAATAAAAATGGATTATTAAGCGTCACAAACACTCTATTGAATGTGCTAAATAAATTCTAAGTATAAGAAAAAGTATTATTGGAGCTTAGGAAACAATGGCTCTATTTCACGGCGACTTTTTCCTTTAATACAATGCATGCATTGTGTTGCTTCGGTAATCACTAACCTAAGTAACTCGTATAACGCATTTACTGATTCATTTTTATAGTTCTTCTTAAGTTACTTTCCTATCAATAAATAAAACAATGTTTTCTACTTTTATCTGAAGCAATAATGTCTTACTTCTAATACTTTTTGTAAAAAAACCTTCTTATTAATGTATTATTTTTGAAAAAAAAATGTAATATCTGTTCCTACAAGTATTCCTTTATTTATGTTGGTAATTTTACAACAATCACAATGAATTCTGACTTACAGGAAATTAATGTAACTGATTTATGGTACAACAATGTTATTTGTTATTATTGTCAATAAAAAACCGGTATGTTTGTTTGATAAATCTTTTTATTTTAAATCCATATTAGTTTACATGTAAACGGCGTTTTTTAAATGTAGAAGTTGATTCTGTACATTTAATTGTCATCTCCTAAATCTGGAATTCCTTTCAGACCCCTGAAATAGAAAAATAGATTATACAACTTACGAACATCAACGAATGATATTTAAGACGATTTTTGAGTAAAGTTTTTATTTTAGGACACTAAAAATTTCGTGCAATTTTTTAATTGAATATACATGTAATACATATTGTAGATGTTACAATTAAGAATACATTATGCACTTTGAGTTTGTTCCCGACACTTGTTCGCACGACTTTGTCACGTGGAGCGGATGAGCGGATGAGGAGCGAATAGAGCGGATTACTCTTGTACCTGACGTGCCAAAATAAATGCCAAGTTTTAAACTTACTTGGTACAATCTTCAGGCAGAACACATTTATGTGTGCGGTCATCTCGCACGTAGGGATGCACGCACACGCAGCCCGGCTCACAGAAGGGGTAGCAGGGACGCAGCCGATCGTGCGGGTTGTCGCAAGTAACTGACGCACATCCCGCGAAACACGGTTCATATCTGACAAACACGTTAGTTAAAGAAACTTGTATTTTTTAACGGATAATAATTACTTAGTTTAAATTGAGAAAATAAGGAGTAAAAGGTTAGAGTGGTATGGGCATGTTATGAGAAGGGATAAATCGCATGTAACAAGAAGGATGTTAGTTATGAATGTGGAGGAGGTAGACCTAGAAAGAGATGGATGGATTGCGTGAAAGGTGACATGATCAAGAAGGGAGTGACGACTGAGATGACTGATGATAGAATGCTTTGGAGGTCGTAAATTAAGTCAAATAAAATCATAATATACCTTTCATGAGCTCGGTCACAATTCATTGATATTGAAATTGGTTTCTTTTCTGGTTCTTTTTCCCTGCAAAGTACAAATGCTTAGACATTGAAAACATAGGTTTACAAAACTAAATTGTTCTGGTAAGTCCTATGAGAAAGAAAAGAAGTAACTGCATATTTTGGTAAAATATAAAAGATAATTACAGAAAGGATGATGGTCGAGATAAATCATTAGTAACTCCAGACATCATTTTGTCCAGTTCATCATATCGCCTCTGTCCACGGAACATGCTCGAGGGCGGGTCCATGTCGCGCTGTCGGTCCATACTACCGAAACCTTTGTCGTCGTCGGAATATCTCATGCTATCCGACTCCATCCTACGTCTGTCATCCCAGTCCTTGTGCTCCGAGTCTATAGGTTTCAACTGCGACTTCTTCCTCCAATTCCTCCTCTCTTCCCCAATTGTATGCCGTTTGTTCTCACCGTCTTCATAATCATAATTATTCAATCTCGAACCAAACGCGATCACATCATCTGCAATTTGATTAGTAAAAAAAATTAGCTTCAAACTAAATCGTTGTTGATTTATTTTATGTTTTTTATCCTTACATAGCAAGAAGCCCAAAAATAAGAGTGTACGCATTTTGATGCTCAGTTACTCTCCATATTGTTCGTAAAATAGCATCGAGATAAACTCGTGCGTTTCATTTTACGTTCAATTCGAAGCCGCTAATCGCAACAATTTGATGATTGTTGATAAAAAGTAAACCATAACATGGCGGATATGTACACAATCCCATATACGAAATAAAAAATGTGTCGACTGTAGATGGGACTTTTTTATTATCATCAAGTTTATTTTTAATACAGCCATTTTCCATAGACGGCGACGTTTAAACCATAGACCTTTGAAGCTTTATCTAGATTTGAACAATAAAGTCTTTCGAGTGATTAATGTTTTGCGGAAATTATGATTTCTCATTAAAATAAAAAAAAAGTAATACCCCTTTCAATTTAGGAATATCCTCAGTTATATTGGTCATTGGCTAACATGTTTAAATCATACTCTAAAAACGTATTTGAATGGAGAACAAATCGAAAAATGGAAAATGAGGTTACGAAAAATGTCTACTGTGTTAAATTTTAAAATAAAATTTTATGAAAGCAGTCATCATCTCATTTTGTTATTTAGAAGAAAGTTTTAAACTATTATTTGTAAAATTTTGGCACTTAAAAAATTGTTTTGTAATTTTATTTGTGAAACATTTATTCATTAAAATTAAATAGTTTATTTCTAAAATGATAACAATGTTTTAAATAATTATAAATGGTATTAATTTATTTGTTTAATCGGTGACCTGAAGTTATCTTTGTGGAGTAATTTCCTCGGCTGTAGAGCTTTGATGGGAGGTGGTGCGATCACGATGTTGAAGTAATTCCCCATACGGGACACTTCGTTTCCTCGCTTGAAATCTTCCATGTGGTTGTTTGCAGGTCCTCCTTCTTCCATATCCTGAACTTCGTCACGCTTTCCATGATTCCTCGGTGTTTTTGCTGGCGGGGCGTACTTCGGCGCTGGGGGCTTCGCTACTCTCTTACTTGGCACTGGTATTCCCATTTGAGTTCTGTAATAAATATGATAAAACAGATTAGTCAGGGTTAAACAAACTGGAACGTTATCCATATTATTAATTTCAATTCTGGTATCAAAATATATTGGAACTAGTTTTTATTGTCAATTTAAAGTTAAATAATTTGATGCGAGTACCAGAAAGACTACTTAATTGCGTTACTTTAACAATTTCCCTATTTTCTCGTCTCCTTTGCCATATTAGTATCAATTTACGTAGTGTAGGTAATATAATAGTCATTTTTACATACGGGGAACAGTCTTGTGGCAGCACACACTGGTGTGTACGGTCATCCCTGACGTAAGGGTCGCCACACACGCAACCTGGCTCGCAGTAGGGGTAGCAGGGGCGCATGTGGTTTCGGGGGTTGTCGCACGACACCTCCGCGCATCCCCCGAAACACGGCTCGTAAACCTCATTCGGCCAGTAGCAACCTGAAACATAACCACACTTGCTTGTTACTTACCGGTTATGATGTCTTAATCTGTTCCTAACCATATTAATTCAGACTTAAGAAATAAATAGTAAATTTATTGAAATTTAATTAAATATAAAGATTGAAAATGGTTAAATAGTGCCTATAATGTTAATTTAAAATAAAAAGGTAGAGTTAAACTCTATTTTCAAGGTATAGTCCAATACGGTGTAAATCTTTGCGGACTTTTCGAATTTCTTAGTTCTTTTAGACATCGTTTTAACGGTTCCTTTACAGTCCCCGAGGGAGCTGTAAAATAGCTTAGACTTGCTGAAATACTGTTAGTATCTAACTAATATATCTTTCTTATGTCGTAATCACTACTATAAATCTATTACTTTCAGTTTTAAAAATAAAGTTAACCAAAAGAATAACTTTTGTAATGTAATTAACAATTCAAATAAATTACCTTTGCTGATTTTTTCTTCATCTCGACATCCTCCGCGTTGAATCCCGTAAATGAGAACAATGTAAATCGTAAACGACTTCATCGGATGACACTTTTAAACAAAGTAATCGCAGGCACTATAAATCAATCGGTACGTTGGGAGGGTAAGTCTTTATTGCTATGGAAATAGAGTTGAAAGTGAGGTTAAATCTAATTAATATAGTGAGAGCGTCTTAAAAGGATAAGGTCGTCAATGTTGATGATAAGGGTATGTGTTTGGTAAACACGGGGCGCTCCGCTAAGCCTCGCCTGATTGAATTATTGCTTGCGTTTGCACCTGCACAGGCACAGACGCACAATTGCCTCTTCTCACGTTCCTTTACACCCTTACTTTAGTCAATAAGTAGTGATTACTTTCTAAAATTGAGTTATTTAATAATATGACAAAATATCAAACTATTTGTCGTTTAAATATTTTATGTTTTCTGTAATAAAACTTCAAGTTAAATTTGCGAATGTGTTATTTTTTTACTTCATTATTTTTTTTTCTGCAATCTTGTTCACGTGCATGTACGTATTGGAACAAAAAAATCATTCTTAGGTTTTAAAAAATCCTTGACAATTTTACACTATTTCTAATTTTCAGTATCAATTTTTTTAAGAGGTCGCGTAACGTTTTTGTTTTTCGGTTTTTTATTAGATTTAAATCAATAATTAAATGTTAATTGTAGAAATCAATTATTTCAACAATAAATGACATATATATTGTTCTATTATAATAGATTAGTTTATTACATTGCACAAAGGCTTTGAAAATACGTAACGCAAAAAATTGTAAAATTTTCAGTATGCCATGTGTTAGTTTATATCAATAGTAATGAAATTCATTGAACACAATCTCAATAGTAGGGTCACAAAACCTAAGACGTGGAGGCCCCAAGTAGTAAATCAGCACCGTTCGTAGTTGTGTAAGCCTAACTTTACTACATACTTACTTGTATAGGGATGGCTTATTTTGAATTTTGTTATTTATCCTCCACTGACGCATTTCGAAAGTTCATGAAGATTTTAGGTTATTTCAAGAGTTTTTTATCTTTAGATTTTATTTAGGCGACGTATTATTTAAGTAAAAAACGCCTGTAAATTGACACTTGAAAAAGATGTAAAAACAAAGATATTGATTAGCATAGCAAATACATATATTCTCGATGTAGAAGAAATACGATAGTTATCTTAGAACCAATCTGACTATTTCTCTGAATTGGATTAAAGTGTAGATCGTCTTACTCTGGCTAGTGATACGATATCGATATGTTTTTCGATATGTAGTTGGTACATCCCTACATAGGGTTTGGCAAATAAAAATCATGATTGCAAGTTGTAACAAGTGCGATGTCTCGGTGGAAGTGCGTCTCGTCGCTCCGGGCCTTGTTATTGTTAACACGGCGTTTTATGTACGAGTAGCTTTGCCACGGGACCGGGTTCCGCCTGCGAAAAATAGCTTTCCCGATAAAATATGATTGCATGATTTTTTTTCCTTTTTTTATTGTTTATGTCGTTTCGTATCGGAAATGCTGTCGAGCGTTCGATTGGATGTGATATTCGAATTTTCTTATTTTCGAGACTATCTCGCCCGAGAAAATTGAATTGATATCTCAAGATTTGCGTAAAAATTTTATGTTAAGAGATTAATTGTTCAATTGTTTTTTTTTTTTAGTTGATCCTGATTCATACACAATTACCACATTGTTACTAACTTTTTTTGCGTTCAATTGTTTTAAAGAAAGCAATCTTTCTGTCTACACTCTACTTTCCAATACTAATTTGTGTACAATTAAATGATCATTTATAACAAATGACGTGTTTATTCTAGACACGTGCCGCACAAATTACAAGTGAAGCAATCTGTTGCCCCTTAAATAGTAGCGTTCCAGTGCCCAGTCCTTTTCTTCAACCTAATTTCAAAACATGTTACTCCATTAACAACTCTAAGTGCAGTCATTAAGGTTTAGTATCGGTTAATTCTTATTTTAAGGCTTGGGATATTCGGTTAAAGTAAGCACTTCAGTCTCTGGGGTGTACAAAGTCCAATATATTTCGGTAGAAAGCGGAGAAGACATGAGTCTTTAAGAATACCATTTGCAAATACAACTGGTCTACAAACATGTAAATGACGCTCTTTGTTTAACCACTATGCCATTATAGTTTATTACGAAGAGTTAATAGAAAAAAACATTTTGAATTAAGGAAATTTCGCTTTAATAACACTAGACTATAAATTACTGGTACACTTACCTTATTGTGTAAAGGAAATAACAATTGTTTTTAATATAACGTGTTTTCTTTGCGTTGATTATACAATAAAAAAACATTATAACAATTAAAATTTTGAGAGTCCTATAGGAAAACCACAAGAATGGCCAGATCCGAGATATTTAAATTATGTTTAACAAGAAGAGGACAAGAACACTAAAGTCTGTCATAGGTCACAGTCGACCGGCATACTAATGTGTTTTTTTAAGTACTAAATGTTTTTATTACTACTGTAATTCGAATAAACATTTAAAGTAAGGACTTTTAGAGGTTAACACTAGTATGTAAATAAAGATTATATTAATTGTAAGAATATCTTTATTAAACTGTATTTGGAACTCTCTCTGGTGTATTGTAAACACGTTAGAGTGTATTCTCTAAGTTCATTGTTAGTAGCTGCTATCTCGAGCACGTAGTTTGCAATTCATTGCTATACCTCTTCCTGGGCGTACCTGCGCATCGCTGCTTGCCAACTCACGTACCACATATCAAAATTATTTTGTTTTGTTAACTATGCCTAAGTACTTCAGTTTAATATTACTATGATTTTGTTTAGTATGATCATGTTTCCTTTATTGACCGACTTCCTAATAGAAAGAGGTCCCATTTTTTGTTTATTTTTTTTAGGAAGGTAGTGCTTGCAGGTGGGTCCCATTTTTTGTTTATTTTTTTTCAGGAAGGTAGTGCTAGCAGATGGGTCCCATTTTTTTTTTCAGGAAGATAGTGCTTGCAGGTGGGTCCCATTTTTTTGTTTATTTATTTTTCGCAATTATTTTTTTAAAAAGCATAAAGTAAAAACGTTTTCTTTAATTATGTAAGCTTAATGACTAATTAACATCTTCAAGAGTTTGTAATCTTAGTGATTTTCTATATTTATGTTGATGTTAAATATTCATAAGGTCAACAGTCAACTATCATCACATTGTTGTTGCTTTTGTAATTGTGTGTTTAAATAACCTTTGTCAGGTTAAAATGCAAAAAATCGCATGTATCAAATCCTGCCTCTAAGTTGAAATGTTTGTATTTATAAGAAAAATATTATAGATGTTTCTATTGTGTATAGAAAATCTTTAATTTTTGTTATCTTTGTCTGTAATGTAGGTATCTACTCAATTTAGAAAATAGGGGTAATAGTAGGGGTGATTTGTGTTTTCTAATATTTTTAGTCTGTTGTCTTGTCCTTGGTCAATTTAAAACAAGTAAATGTTTTTCTTTGTTTTTCTTTCTATTTTCCCTCTTAAATAACACGTTTCAATAGGAATGGGTTTCGTATAAAGTTAAAAGTCTAAATTGAAACGATTATTAAAATCGGTTTAACTTTATAAAGACATATATTAAAATGACCCCTTTTCCATCAAATACGAGAAGTGGTAACACAAAAGATGGAAAATAAAGTCATATGCAAATAATTATAACGCAAATTAAGATAATTGGATGCGACGGTCGCTCGCCCGCGCCGCCGCGGCGCGGCGCCGAGTGCGGAGAGACGAAGTAATATCGGGTTGAGTGGTGTTGCCTAATTGAAAGTCGCGGTTTGGCCCAATAACAATAGAACGGGGCTCGGTTACGTCTCGTGTATAAATTAGAGAATTATATTAATCGCGGATAACAATCGCCCGTAACGCTTAACGAGGCTCTTCGACTCGCTGAACCCGTATCGAAAACACCCCTTTTACCTTGCAAATTGTATGAAAGTCGACGCACAATTATTTGTGCTTACTAACTTTAATTACGACGAATTGTTTTTTTCCCCATATCCCTATATCACCATCGTCAGCTTTTCTCTGCCCACTGATGGATATAGGCCATCTAGAATACCTTCCAATTCCCTTTACCTACATATTGTCGAGGCGTTTTATAATTATTTGGTGACATACCATATATTTTAAATCAATGTTCTAGCAGAGCTTTTCAGTTTTGTTTCAATCTCGGTTTCTAAAATTTGTCATTTTTGATACAGAGGGACATTTAATTAAAGATAACGTTGAGATTGCTTGGTACCTGGGGAAGGATTACGAGAAACAGATAACCGGAATTGTTATAATAATTATAAAAGAATGGTTTCTTAGGAAAATCCGCGTCAAAGACGACGGAAGTGAGAGTATCTTTGAAATGAAAGAATAAAGATGTAACATCCCTATTTAACCCAACGCTAGTCCCGTAGCTTTTGTTCCCCGAAAAGTTTAACATTAATTTACATTTCCCGCTTTTGTTCTGCAAGACGTCATCGTCAAATTAGCTGTTTGTTAAACAAACTTATCGGGGCTATGAATATTGCCGACTTTATTACAAAGCTGGAGCCGAAACGTACGCATTGTGCGAGAACTCACAATAAACTTGAAATCTTATTTACTTAGGAATATACGCACTGTTAAATTATATCCAGTGTCAAATTAAAAAGTGTTTTGATAATGAAAATACTAATGATGTGCTTCAAGCAATTTAATATTAATACATTTTATTTTCACATAATTTTCTCAACTTGGCCGAGTTTGCCTCCACAATCGATCAGCATGCAACTGCCTGTAATACACCTAGCTTTGTCACTTGCGAGGTATATTATCAATTCCGCTACGTCTTCACTTTCACATACCATTTTAAGAGGTAACTTCTCTGCGTAGTTCTTCAAGATGGCGTCACTATATTCACTGCTCAAGCCGGCTCTCGTGAAGAAGTTAGTTCTTACCGGACCAGGGTTGACGGAGTTCACTCTCACACCCTTCTCCGCGAGCTCCATAGCGAGGCATTTAGTGAACATGTCCATAGCGGCTTTGGACATACAATACGGCGTCATGAATGACAAAGCTGTAGTTGATAGGACGCTAGATACGTTCACAATATTGCCCTTGGTAGCTTCTAAGTATGGAATAACTCGGTATGTAAGCATGTAGGCTCCACGAATATTGGTGTCCATTATTTTATCCAGAGGCTGCACACCATCTCTTATTCCGGCAATTAAAGAAATACCAACATTATTAACGAGTACATCAATTTTCTCGTAACAGTCAATTGTTTCTTTCACTATTTTCTCTACGTCATCTTCAGCAGTTATATCGGCTGATATCAATAAAGGTGCGTGTCCACTTTCCGTTTCGCAATTTTCGGCGACTTTTCTAAGATTATCCATGTTACGTCCGACGATGGCCAGTTTAGCGGAAGCCCTAGCGAAGAGGACGGCAGACGCCGCGCCGATGCCTGAGCTCGCGCCCGTTATTAAGACGACCTTGTTAGTGAAGTCCATTCTAATCGAATGTTGGTTTCCGACTAAGTGACCGACAGACACTAAATATGTTATATACGGCGATGTGGTTAACTTAGAGTAGGATTCAGTAAAGCCAGACAGTTTACTTACATTTATCATACAAAAATGTCGACTACATCCCTGAAATATTTCTTACAGTTAATTTGTTTATGGAGAAAACACTAAGATAAAAGTAAGTTTCTAGTAGTGTTTAAAAATAGGTAACTATAGTCATTTATCGTCGATACTCGACTTTTTGTTTTTGCTTTTCTTGTGATAAAATCAATTAACTTTTTGACTAGATTGAAACACTTCGCTTTGCTCGTCTAACTGGATAGCCTATTAGTTAGAGAGATTGTATTTAAGACATTAAATTAAATATATTTTTTCACACTCTGCGTCTACCACAGTCTGTGGCATTTTATAAATATCCGTCACAAATGTAATCCCATAGATGTGACGCAAGCAGCGCAGAAACCAGACCGCGGCAGTGGATGTGTTGAGGTACTACGTATTTACATGTATTTGGTTTCATTTTATTTAATACGCTCTACATGTTTTATTGTTAAAAATAAATAACCATGACGTACCTCGCATTGTATTGACCTTCCGTCGTAGTGTTGTTAATAGTTACTGTCTCGTTGCATACGATAAAAAACGTGTCACTTTCAAGAAATAACAAATTTTCTTAACAAAAGGTAACGATATTTTCATTTTTAGTGTCGTTCAGTATTTGTTTGTAGTTATTATATCCGTTCATATTTTCTTAAAATTAGTGCATAGTTATGTAATACACGTTTTTTTGTATAATTTTAATTTATGTAGATACATAGATTTTTAACATTTTAACATAAGACAGTGTGTTTGTACAATATGTTTAAACTTTGACCTCATTCAGTTATTGTTAGTTGCGTCGTCAACAACAACGTATTACTGATTGACATCCATTGTACAACTTCAATGAGGATTAATTGCTTATCAAGATTAATGAAATAATAAGTCTTCATCGAAGGAAACTTGAGGGTTCTCTGGGATGTTTGCTAAGGAATAATTGCTAATTTTAAAGTGAATTAGGCATACATAGTTCTTTTAAATTTCGTTTTGTACTTGAAAGTGGTTAGATTATGTCAGATTTTCCTATAATATATGAGCGGGCGCACACATTCGACTGCAATCGTACAACTGTTGTGCGATTGTCGATTGTTTTGCGGCCAATTCAATTGTTTAGTTGCACAACTAAAAATCGAGTAGTCGGAATACCTCCGTATAAGCGTATAGGAATCAAAGCGAGACTAAACAGTTGTGCTAAGTAAAATGAATCATTGAACGGAGACATAATTATAACTACTTATCTATATCTATACCATTATAATAAAGCGTAAACACACACTTTGTGGCGTAAGATGTCAGCAATTACAGCATATTGTTGAATAATATTTATTTAATAAAAACATCTACACTTACATCACGCTTTAGGCTCTGTAGGCTTTAACCCTAACGTGGAAAAGAAACCATAAGCTGCTGCCAAAATCAAGGAAGCAATCTTGCTTCCTCAGGCTATCTAGCCATAGTAAGTTAATTGGTATTTTAACATTTGCAATTGGTATTTGACAAATGTTAACAATAAAATAAAGTTTTTATAATTCCAGGCCGATGAAGCCGCATGGGAACAGATAGTGGGATAATAAAACAATAGTTGTTTCAGTACAGTCTATTTATATAATGTCGTTGCGTGATTGACAACATTGAAGCAGCTATATACAAATTAGCTTACACAATATTACAAAATAAGACTTACATAGAAGCTCCCTATAATTTGTTTTTGGCACTTGCATTACGTTTATATTCACATTATACTAACTTAAACAGATTTTAGGACAAGATTAATTAACACAACTTACAATGTAATCGAGTCTTTACTCTTCAATGTTTTTCGTTGGACCTATTGATCTGTCGGCCGATCGGTCAAACGGGAAACTTACAGAGGTGTAGAGAGCAAAGTACAAAGTAAAAAACATAATGTTTTTTTACAAAGTGACAATGTTTATGAGTTGATGAGTCAGTAAAAAAACACAGAAAATGAATCCTTGTCGTGTTATAAGGCTCAATTTCTAGACAGAACAAAACGATGTGAGAATCCAAAAGAGGATTAGAATTACAATTGTCAGTAATTGACATTTCGTTGTGAAAAATTATATGCGATTCCTTTGATTCTAAAACTTAATTACGTCTTTTTTGCTTAAACATAACATGAGATGTTTTGCACCATTTTTCCTATTTAAAACCAGATTTTAAATAAATCAGTATTTGAAATATATTATTTTGTAAGCGGATATTGTATTGTTTATTTATTTATTTATTAGAAAGGTACACCAATTGCATGTTCAAAATTCACAACCAAATTAATATACTGTAGACAATTAAAAACAAAATCTTTTTTTTCTTTTTTAATAACAAACGTTGAATCAAATAGCTTTTTCGTTAATTACAACAATAAATTAGGGTACATATATTAAAGAAAAAATTAAAACAAAGACAGTAAAAGAAGACTCTAAAGTCGCTAAAAGTTATTTAGATTGCTGATCGCTGATTTATTTTAATTCACCTGGAAGGATAGAAATGTGTCTAGTTATTAGTACTGATAGTAGACGATTTCATCAACTTTGACTATTGATAAATCACAACTACATATTACATCTCTCTCTCTCTCTCCGGATCGTTTCCTCATTCCTGAGGGTCGCGACCACTCTCCTTGGCTCTCTCTCGAAGGGTGTTTCTCCATTCTGTGCGATTCTCTGCGACATGTATGGCGTTATGAATGGTTGTGTTGAGAGTGGTGCATATTTGGTCCGTCCAACGCATAGGGCGACGTCCTTTAGATCTCTTCCCATATTACATATTACATACTAACACACATTAGTGACGAAGATGAAAAATCTACTGGAAGCTTAAATGAGTATTGAAACACTACGCTAAAAAATGTACTAAATCACAACCGATGCTTACAATACTTTACGTTCAATAAAAATGTACTTTTACTTAAAATGAAAATACATATAAATTTATTCAATAAATCTAACGTTATAAAAAGTACAAAAAGTAACAAAAAAGAATTAAAGGGTGCGTCGAATCTACAAGCGTGTAAATACAAAGCTTCTAGGAATCTAAACATATACCTCCAGATACCATGTTCAGTAAAAGGAAAAAAAATAATGAAGACTTAGGGCTTGTCCCACAACTGGCTAATAGAGGCTCAAATAGCTTAAAAATGACGTCACTCTCATATAAGGAAACCAAAACTGACATTTCGATGTTACCATTTGACACGTTTTATTGTATCAGACAATTTATAATATGGTGGGACAGACCCTTAGTATTTTAAATGACACGTACAATCGTTTGTGTTAAAACTGGAATATTATGAAATCTAACAGAATTAGCGCGTTTGTTCACGCGGATATTTAAGAAGTAATCAATCGATGCCTTTGAGAGGCTTTACTGGCATTGCCTGGATTAGGTATCTTGAGGTATGGATTAGGTGCTTAGTATATAATCCTAGATATATACAAAATATGTCTATAAACGCTGGAGGGAGTGCGATACTGGACGTTTGTGTTAGTTTTAGATAATATTTAGACATGTATTACAAAGTAGTAGTAAAATAGGTTAATAGTAAATGTTAATCGATCTTCACTTATTTTATTTTCACATTACTAATAAATTGGTAAAATACAGCGTTACATTTAACTCCATAAAGAATAGACAATGCATTAATCTAATCAAAAGATTTCGAAGAAAACGTATTCAAGTTAACATATGAAGCTCAAAAGCGCTCGTATTCGCGGCTCAAGAGCGGTCATGGTCGATAAATTATTACTTATATCATATTCATTTTATCCATCGAAGCGTCGAACTCAATCACGCTCACAGCCATTATTAAATTAATATAAAAACATCCTTTCATAACACGATAGGCTACTTACACCCGGTTTCTGGAAGGTCAATCAATTTCATTTATGATTAAACTTATAGTGCCATATATTGTTGTCCTCAAAACTCACAGTTAGACCCTTCGTACACAAAGCAACGTAAAATTAGTATTGTATAATTCCATCGCTATTATCGCATAGCGCGCGCTTCGCTCACACAGCGATAAATTATCGACGTATTTGGTGGTTGTTCACTTCAGGTATAGCGACTACATGGTTGTTTATTTACGCCATTTTTAAAATCCTATCGACTTTTCTAACGAAGATCAGGATGTCAAGAGACAAACACGAAGCGAGTGACTGGTTTTGTGTACGAAAAGCCTTAGGCGTATTAGTCGAATATTAGTTTGACATGACAAAAACCGGGCGATAATTTACAGTAACACTGGAATAACACCAGCCTATTAATACATCAAGCAGGTACTTATGACTCTTTTTCCCTTATTACAACATTAAATTACCCTACCCTTATAAATTAACACGTAGTACAAATAATTACAATGTTATCTATCAATTCTACAATAAGCTACTTGGGATTAATAAAAAATACTAATACATCTCCAATTCGAAGGATCTACTAAATTGTCTAATAATATGAGACTTGACAGCTATGACGTCATGAGGCTTTTCTCGTACTATAACCAAAAGTAAACATAGTAAACCCAGCGTGGCTACAACGAACTTGTATCTTTTTGGCTCGCTCCATAGGGACGTAAACCGTGTGAAGTTGCCTCTAAGTAATTCTGCTCGCCTAGTACTTTTTATAAATATTAGTTACACTTTCTAACACTACCCATGGTTTAGAATACAAGGAATCTACTAAGAATTTATAGTCTACACTACAACTACCACTACGAATGATTTTTTTAGATCACATTATCGCTTTGCAATATTTATAGCCTAAATGACTAGCACAATTTTGAAATCTTTTCAAAATTAATTACAATTTAATATCAATTACAAACATTTTAAATTAGAAATTTTAATATACAAGTATTATGTTAAAAATTCAACCGTAAGGTCAACCATCGGAAAGGTAGCTTTTAAATTGCAATTAGTAAACTGATTCCGTATAGAAAATAAGAAAATAGTTCGAGATTCATAACTTCCTGGTATATTAACAATAAAATGAAGAGTTTTGTAATGATCTCACAAACTTATAATGGCTCGTTGGCGCTGTTATTGAGATTAGTTCTTTCATAAACACGAAAAACGTTCTTAGGCATAGAAAATGACTCTTAAGATACGACAAGACAGTGAAACAAGGGTCTTGTGGCAGTTTTTTGACATTGACAGGGGGCGCTTAGAGCTATTCTATTTTAGTTCCACTTTTGTCCACCGAGCCATTTATGTTGTGGCACTATAGTATGATGTTTACGTTATTAGGTTAGTTTAGTAGGAGTTAAAATTATGATGTCTTAAGATGATGTGACTCGTGGTCGCAGCGGCGGAGTACCGCGAAGTGCGTCACTTGAAAGGTGTTAGTGGCCCGGCTGCCGCGCTCCAGCGTGCCTGTCATTGTATACCCCATGTTGAAGTCAGCTTGAGTTACGTTCGTCGTCAGGTATAACTGAAAGATATGTACAAGATTAAACAAGAATGCTTACAATTTTCTAAGTTAAACTTTCGTAAGAGATTTTTTAATATTGGCATTTGTGTCATAGTGAGTTTAGTTAAAGAAATCCATTAATCTTCTTTTTCAGTCTTCTTCTTCGTAAGATTTAATTAAAGCGCCTGTAGGTTTTTAATATTTAATTTTCATTACCTTAAAATCAGAATCTGTACCAAGATGCTTGAAGGTGCCAACAATGTAAACCGCATTAGCTCCGCTGATGACCATCCGCGCTTGAGTGCTGTGCCTGAATAAAAACGGAGATATATAAAAGATGTAAGCATATTCTTAAGAGAATAGACCTGACGATGTTCCGTTATCTACATTTCTAATAAAACTATCTAACATAGACTTTAATTTACCGAGAATGTAAATTAGTTGTAAGAGCGAGCTGTTAATAACGAGTTAGTTAAGCTATAATATATCAGAGTGGTCCCGTACGAGGCTCTCCAGGCCTGCATGCTGCCAGCGCCGCGGCCAATTGTGGCGAGCTTGATAAAGTGTTGCCCCTGACATAAAGCTATATTAACTGACACGTTATTTGTTCATCAATGAAGACATAATAATATTGTTTTCGTTTTTGAATATCAATAAGGCAGTAATAGCTTTCGATTTAATTTTATTTCATAAAGTACTAAGAATTATAGGAGACACGTAACGATTATTAGGATTAAAGTACGTTCGTCATTTGTTTTTTTGGTATGCAAAAGTAAAGACATTTCTTTATACTATTATTAACAAAAGTAGAGTTGATAACAATGTGATACATATCGGTGTAGTGGACTATTGGGATTCGCGGCACGTCTCTCGGCATGCTGCACGTAGCGAGCGCCCTAACGGCCTATGTAATGGTAGCTTGCTCTTTAATAGCCGCAAACATCGCTCTCAAGCCCTCGAACAGTTCCCACGAACAAATTAAAAACGTTTATGACCACTCCGAGGGTACTATCCACCTTGTTATTGCTGTTTAGCGTCTCTAAGAGGCTGAACGTACCCAGCATTACATTCATGTTAAAAACATGATGACCTAAATTGTTTTTGATCTCGTTTCTAAGATGACTATAAACAGTAATTAACATTAAGTCGATCCATTCTCTTTACATTCTTTTGAATTTCCTTACCCTATTGTAGTTACAGAATGTATATCTTCCGATATTGTCAAGTACAGCCGTTATTTCTTCTATAATTCAAGGAACAATGTTAAAGAAACTAGTAAGTATGAACTTATTCCCGAGTGTTATTTTTAATCGTCCATATTTATTTACGAAGTGCTGCACCACGCCTTGTGGCGCTAGGATCGCGTGCTTGTGGCGCCCTCTGCGACCTGCGGCCGTTTGTCAAACGGCGATACGCTCACCTGAGCCGGGCGTTGGTTAATTACCAACAACGCGCCTAATGTTTCTTCGCAGATGATAAACTGCTTCCTTTGAAGAAACTCGTGAACATTTTCAGCTTGTTATTTCCTGGTGTTAACGTATTTTATGCCTTGTCCCATAAATGCAGAAATGATTACTTTAATTAATGCTGCTAATAATTACAAAATGTAATCCAATGTAACCAGTAAATACGTCTTTTTACCACAATTTAAATTTTGTGTTTAAACTCTTTAAAATTACTTCATTCTGATAATTCAGATTCAGAGAAAACATATCATCACTATTCGGATTAGTATGGTTGTTGTGAGAATTTTTAACCGAAATGAAGTTTTTTTTTGGCGCATATTAAGTGTAGAGTATCACCTCTTAGTACCGGCGACCTCGATGACCTTGCAGCGCGAGCGGCGCCACCAGCAAGGCTGCAGAGTCCAGTAGGAGGAGGACGCACTGCGCGCCCACCCCTCCTCCGGGAACATCAGCACCTGCAATTATACACGTTCATGAAAACATCGAAGCACTTATTATAATAGTATAAGACATAGAACAAGACTGTTGGCACGGCCAATTTGTTGAGTAACCTTCGTCCATAGACAAAATAATTACCACAATTTCTCTAGAAAATTGTACATTTCAGTTTTGTAAGATACCGTTTCTATGTGTATATTGAAAAGGTTTATTCAAATCGAATCCACATTTCTAAATAAATGGTTATAATGAAAGTGAGTTTCAACTCAAACTCGAGATTTCCCTGACCGAAAAACAATTTTGCTAAATTAGAAAACTTTGCAAGCCTTTCGACAGCGGCGGCGGTATGAAAAATAGCTTTTTGGCTAAAACTAATATAGCAGGCCAGAAACAAAACGGAGCGGAGTCGTAACGAAGTTGTTGAGCGCTCGAGTTTACAACCGCGGGCGTTGGCGCTGGCGGTGGGAGACTCTAAATCGTCCGGATTCGTGTTTACGTTTCGAGCTCGAAGTACTTCCCGGAGCTACGTCAGCGCAACGTAAACGCGGAAGCATATTGGCTGCTGGGATTCGAACGCTCGATTGGTTTCCGGCGTTCTGTCCTCATTTTCTTCGTCGTGAGTTCGGGCAATATTTTTTTTTCGTAAAGGAGTTTTCCCGCTTTCGACAATATTGCGTCAGTTTCAAAGGCGCAGTCGTCGAGGGTGAAATCGCTTTCACGTCGGGTGAGCACACTAATGATAGAGTTCCGGACACGGCCCGCTCGCGGGGACAATGCGCACTCGTCCTGCGCTCTCCTGTGCTCTCCTGCGCCCCTTGACGAATCTAACTATTGTTTAATGGGTTTAAAAGCGTTTCAGTGTTGTGAATTTCAAATGCTTAATGGAGTACAAACTTTTTTCGATGCTCCCTTTACGGTAGCTTTTCATTTTAAAAACATTGTCACCTTTTAAATGTAATGAAATGTTTGTGAATAAATTTGAATAAAAAATTATTTCATTGTAATGGTAATTATCGAGCAAAAATTGTGTATAGCCATATATTTTAGTAATTAAAAAGTCAATATGTATACTCATTTTTAATGCCCCCAAGTCTAGAGTACCTAACTAAAAGTACTCAAATAGAAATGCAAAGCGAGAATTTGGAAAATGTATAATAAGCATTTAGCAAACATCTTTACGATTGTAAAATTTTTATCTATATCTTTTCATTTACATTACAGCGCGATGATTTACATTGGTCCCAGACGAAATCACTTGAGTGTCGGTGCGTTTAATATTCATGGGTGGTTGTGGTCCGGCGGCGGCGACACCACCTTTTCACAAGGGTCGATCTATCACTCCCGCTGTCGATGATCGAGGCTCGTCCAATTACCACGCGCACTCGTCAAGGTTTTTCATCTATCTATAATTGCTTTGCTTTTCAAATCAACTCAAGCGATATATTGCTTTTCATAGCGATTTCAATATCGCAAGTGCAGAAATATCAATAAACAAGCATCGATGTATACTTCAAATCAGTGCTTTCAACCTTTTTTAACTACCGTACAACTTGGACGGAAAACAAAAAAAAAATGGTGGCCATTTTTTTATTTATTGTTGCATGTTCTTTATTTATTGCTTAATTTGATTTTGACCTAATCTCTACTTTTTAAAGTTAAATTAAATCATTTCACAAACAAATCTCACTGGAAGTACCACTTTTAAAGAAATGGCTAAATTAAGAAGTAGTTATTGATATAATAAAAATACAACTTACACGTTTCGTTGCTAAATTGAAGTGAAATAGTACTTTTATTTTGCATTCGAGCGTCGATTTTGATTACGAGGCCGTGGAACTGAATCTATAGTCACGTCCTGCCACTCGACGCCACTTGACTGCTGCCGCCTACTGTCTGGACTTGCAAGACTCAATAGATAAAATGGAATTACTATTGTTGAATTTTACGCCGTTTATTTTATTTTATAGTAATTGATTTTTCAACTTCAATAGTCCTTGTATTTAATTTTCTGTTTCAGTTGTAGTAGTTTGAATTTTAAGTTAAATCATGAACACTTGCCGATTTTCGGAATCTGAATTATAGGATTTTTTTTCTTATTAGATGATACGTGTCTGGCACGAAGTTATGTATGGCACTCCATTACCATCTTTAATGACGACATCCGGTAGAATTCATAGAGTTAAATAAATGATGATTTTTATTAATTTAGAAAAGAAAGAACTTCTGTGCTACAATGCTCATAATTAAAAACGAAATTGTTAAAACAATGTGAAATATGATCGTAGTCCAGTCTCAAGTGGAGTATTAGCATGTCACTTTTAGTCCGAGCGCTCTAATTCCACGTCCTTACCTGTGAGTGCGAGTCGGTGCTCTTCGCTTTAATTGGATTTAGTCTGCACTATGAATATGACGCGAGGATTGCCGCTTTACAGATTTATTAACAAGATTAAATGAAAAACCTTGCTGTTAATTATATTTTAGTATCCAGAAAGATGTATAATCGTAATTGTATTAATCTAATACAGGGCTTTATACATATTAAAAGTCGGTGCGTTTTTATTCTGCAAGATAACAAGTTCCCATCTTTTATCTTCATCCTAAAAGAAATTTAACATTACGAAATGTTACATAAAAGTAGTAAAACTACACTTTAATCTTCATGTAATCGATAAAAGGGACGGCCGACAAAGTATACAGTTTGTTCGGTGACTTTCTTTCATACTTCATGATATTGTTTGCTTGTTGAAGTGTGTTTGTTCGGCCCTCCGTCTTGTAAAATTGATTTATGAAGGCGACGCGGCCGACATGTGATAATGTTTTTTATATAGTTGTACGGTCCATACATACTAAGATGGCCAGAATTACACAGTTAAGGATAATTTTCTTAAATGCTTAAGGTAGTTTGGTGAATTTTACTTAATAAATAAGCTTTTAAAATTAAATTTAAATGTTAAACATTCGATCATAGATTGAACACCCTCTTCATGTATCGTCAATGCAAAATAATTGCTTCGCTTGAGTGACATTTTCCGCGCAGGTAGCGGACGCCGCCGAGGAACCGGTGTCACAATTTAATTAACCGTGGATGTGGCGCGGCTGCGGGCCAGCGGGCTGAAGCATCATCTCATTACATTTCATTAGTCTGCTACTTCCCGATCTATACAGGTTTACCTGGAGCATTGATTGCTTTAATAAATAAGGAGCTTAAATTAGTCGATCGTCTTAACTTAATTTGAAGTACATTAACAGATTATAGCAGTCCTTGTAATTAAACGCTCTGTTGACTTTACATTTATGAGTATAGAATGTCTTAAGAAAATTTTTGTCCAATGGGTTAATATTGTTATTTTCACAAGTCATTCATATTTAATTGCATAAAAATCTTTTGTTAAAATGAGTAAAATAGTACAAATAAATACAAAACCGTAATAATTTCATCTAAATTTATCCGAAGAAAGGGTCTTCTTTTAATAATCTCGCCAGAATTGGTGGTCCCTTTATCCCTGTATGATATATTCCAGGATAACTTCGGATCGTCATAGAGGAAATGCCCTATGGAACGACACCGGGTCTTTGTGGCGGAATTGCAATGGGCAGGGAATTGAGTTATGTCGGTGTCGGACGCGAGCGATGCGACCCTTTGTCGCGTCATCAACCTACAAATTGGCAGTTTAGCCGCCGCGTCGCTGCCGACTCGCCCTGGGCAATGCTCGAACTCGCACTGATATTTCGAAAAATACAAAGGTTATTGCCGTCCTCCGGGAATGGAATATGATGAATGGACAATTTACAAAAGAGATTTTAAGTAAGGAGAGAAAGATAAAGTTGAAAGCGATCTAACAAAATTGACACATCTTGAAAACACACACTTTTAGTAACTTTAAGATTGTTTTTTTATTTGGATGCTATTTTAACTTGTCTTGGGATTACTTATGCCACGACTTTATTCAAATCTGTCTCTGATATACATTTGAATTATTAACACAACTTATGAAGGTAAATTATTCTTTTTTTATTGCTACTATTTTCATACATTTGGTTGGTGTCATTTGTTATCGATTGTATTTCAGAAAAAGTAACCGCGACTAACTAGGCCAGGGCAATACGTTACCGCAAGTCATGCTGTCAGCAAAAATAGCCTCGTAATTCATAGTCGATTTGACATGGGAAGCGCGCTAACGATGGATTCCAACGTCGTCATCAGCTAAATAACAAACAAAAGTGATCCCTTAATTACAAAGACCAGTCTCTGATGTTGAAGCAAGAGAATATTTCCACGATTATCTCTATGGTTTTTAGTTTTAAAATTAATTAAACAACCATTTCCTCCGTCAATTAAGCGTAGGCAATGCATCTGCAATTACGGATTGTCTATGGGTAGCGAAAGCTTTGCCATTTTGGCTGGTTCAGGTGACCGCTTGTTTGGCACTTTATGATATAAATACTAAGATAGTTTTTGGCTTGCGTTAACATGAACTGAAATATTATTTTGTTCGTTTTATGAACTGTAATTAGTTCCTAACTGCTTTTTAAACGCCCTGTCACGACAGTTTTCCAAGCTATAAATTATAATGTCTGATGATTACGGTACACTATACTTGTAATTTTGTTTGATATTTGGGAATGTTTTATGGCGGCGTTGCTATGGTAACGTTGTTGACAACAAGTGCCTACAGACGTCGTCGGGGAAGGGCGACGCGACTTATCAGATAATTGACTGCTGCCTCCCTACTAAAGGCAATAATACACATTTCTATGAACTGAATGTTTGTTCAGAATTAAGTAGTGTACTGTATACATTACATTACTTACCTTTTTATTTATATTGGTTTTAATATTAATTAAAAACAATATAACATCATATAATGCTGGGTTGAAGTTTCCATTTATTTTATCATTACCTATTGATTCATTAGTTCTAGGTTAAATAAATGTTACGTAGTTCGGAAACGCATATAATAAAGTTATGGAACCAATAACACTAACAAATGATTAAAAGCGGGAAACCGATCATTAC